TTAGACTCTAAAATCTTTTTACCCAATTTACCTTGAACTTCTACAACTTTAGACTCATAATATTCATAGTCGTCTGTCTTCTTTGGTTCATAAGGTATAACAAGTTTGTATGCTTTGCCTTCTTTAAGGTTTGAGAACCTTCTGTCAAAACTTTCTTTGACTGTTAACAAACCTTCTATGTCTAAGTCTTCAAATTTCGCACCATTTTTAGTCACAATAGCAAACTTAACTGGTTCGATGTTCCAAACTTTGCTGAATGAAGACTTTTCAAAATGGTAGAAGTAAACATTCAAATATGTGAATGGGTCTAGTTCTTCTTTAAGTCCTGACATGTACTTGTTTACTGAATATATTTCGTCATCTTTTCTATCGGATAAAAAATATTTTTTTTAAAATTTACTCAGAAAAATTTTCTTTGTATATACACCATTCTGTACGTCTAAAAGACTTTTGACATTTGCCAAGAATGTTCGTTTAGAAGCTGCATATAACCATATTCTTGACAATATTGTTTATATTCATCATATAAAGACTTTTCATCTAAACACTCAAAGTCGCTTTTTCTATGAACAGTTCATATACACTCTTGTTTGCTTCTAACAATGTTTGTCTCGCTTCGGTATGTGGAATTTGTCTTGGATTGAACTTAGAAATATCTAATGTCATGAAATATGAGAACAAGTGGTTGTAAAAGTCAGATGTCAAAGTTTTCTGCTAAGTCGTCAAAATATTCTGTATCTTGCATATGAGAATCTGACGTTCTGACAACTACATATCTTCTGTCAGAACTTTCTAACTTCATCGGAACAGCATTGTTTGAAACCATAATGAAGTTTGCAACATTTTCACAAACTCTTTGGTCTTTATACTTTCTTTCAACAACTCCAACTTTATCTGTTATAAGACTCTTCAAAGCATCTGAGTTTAAAACTTTTGTTGTATCTATACTTTGAAGTTCATTGCAAACTATAAGTTTCATATTCTCAATTGAAGAGTTAAATTTACCGCAGATGTTTTCTAAGTTTGTCATATTCGGATTCGAATAACCTTCTAACAGTTTGCACAAAATATCTGTAAAGAAAGTATTCTTACCTGTTCCTTGTTTTCCAATTATAATGAGAGCGGTTTCATTTTTAGCACTTGGATGTTGTAAGATGTTTGCAAACCAACATAAGATATACTCATAAACCTTTTCGTTTCCATTGCATATAATTCTTTGACATTCTAACCAAGCTTCTTTAATATTTTCTTTCCATTCTACTTGTTCATATTTATATCCAGTGAAGATTAGAATAGAAGTTTGGAGAAGGTGTATAAAACTTTATACCACGAACTGAAAAATCTTCAAGTTTTGACAATAAGATATCTCCAAGCATCTAACATCTTCATGCCAACTTGTACGACTTTTATTTTTCTTAAGTTTCTGTCTACATTCTTGTTCAGACACTATTGTTGCTCTTGTTTGTTAAAGACAACATCCCATTCTTTCATGACATAAATTCTGGGGCAGAGTCAACATAAATGACTAAACGTTTCAAATTCTCGACTGCTTTGTTATAGTCTCGAAATGGACACACATTTCTGAATGCTTGAGAATTCATAAAAATCTGAAACATCTATTCTGTACATTTTTATAAAAATAAAAAAATATTATTTTTTTATTCTTGACTTTGTTGTTCCATTTGTTGCATTGTTGTTCTTGAGCTATTTGTTGTTGAAGTTGTTCTTGTAATACAATACTTTCACCAGTTGCATCTTCCAATTTCGAAACTTTCTGCCGTCATTGACAAATACATAGGACATAAAAGTTTTACAGGAAACAAAGTTTGCGTCAACTAATGTCAACGTTATTACTTGCCAAAGTGTTTGAGTTCACAAAGGTTGAAATTCTGCATTCGAATGAACAATAGGCAAACCAGCAGAGAAAGATATGTTTATACGCATAAGTATCTTTTGGTCATAATAGTTTCTGTCGACATTCGAATAAACACTTTGAACCTAAGTTTGAAATATATAAGATTGGTGTGCTTAATGTCAATGGAATAGACATTCCATGTATGACACCTTTTCCTGTATAGGAAACTGTGGTAGTAAAAACCAGATATAAGTTTTGTATTATAGCTCATATCGTTTTAGTAAACTCAGTCGGACATCCAAACATAATGAAAACCTGCTCTAGTTGCAGCACATGTTACACCCGTACTTAAAGTATTAAATAAGTCAACAAAATCTGTTGGTGGTATATCTGAGTAAGTATCTTCAAAGGAGTATTTTTTACCATCAACAATAAAAGTCTTCTGGTGTCAAAGAGCAAAACAGGCTTTAGTCGTCATTGTGTTTAAGGTTAGTTTACAATATCGTCCTTGAGGACTTTGTAAGTTTGTTGTTTATAGAATTATATGACTCAGGGTTTTTAGTCGTAATAGTATAAACCATTATGTCTTCTGCCATTTACTTAGCAAATAAATTTTAATGAAATGTTGTGGTCGTCAAATATTTTTATAACGTCTGGGAAACTATTTTTAAGTTCAACGTTTCACCTCCTTTCATAAACGTATATCTTGTCAATGACATTATATGAAACACCACAGCAACCAATGTCGGGTTCTATTTCTTTGATGTTTATATCGTCTGCCTCTGTCAAAAGTTTCAATAGTTCTTTCAAAACTTCATGAGGTGCAATGACATATGAGTTCACTTTACAGGGTTGTGTTCGACCAAGTTTAACATTATACTTAAAGCTTGACAAATCTTCTCCTGAGTTTGAAGTTTGTCTTTCAGTTGTTGGTAGTCGTTTCAAATATCTGCAACAGAACTTAAGTCTCTGTTAACTTCAGGATATGTTGGTTCTTTTACAGGAACAATTTATACCATCTTCGTCTTCGTATGGTTTCCCCACTTCAACATCTCTGTCTTTGACATTGACAATAACACTTTGACTGTTTGTTTGAGTTGGTGAATTTAACTTCACATCTGCCACCGCTATTAAACCTTTTGAAACACTTACGCTTCTATTTTTCGGAAATGACATTTTACTTAGAATAAAAAGATGGACGTATTCGGATATCTCTTCGAATTGAAGCAGAACAAAGTTTATACTCACAAACAATACAAATACATTGACAGAATAGTTCTTTACACAAACAATGGAAAATGTTATAGAATAGCAATATTTGCTGAACCAAAATATTTTCATAAAGCAAAGAAAGTTGGTATAACTGAAATGGTGAAAGTTCTTGAAGCAGACAAAAATATAACTTCAAAACTGACCGATATTACTAAAGGAAAGTTTATCTTACAATATTATGTCAAAACTGGCGTACTGTCAATATTTGACGGAGAGAAGTCAGTTCAAGAACAACTTACTGACCTGCTGCCAAAATCTGCTCGATGGAAGCTGTCGTTATGCCAATCTGAGGAGCCCCAGCAGGTTTCATCGAACGAATCTTCAAAAGAGCATCTTCCGTGAAAAGTGCTATTGGTTTTGTAAACTTCTTTGCTCTCAATTCATCTGGACCGTCTCTGTCACCAGTATATTGTATTTGTACAGTACCAACAGTTGAAATACCACCCATAAAGTCTTCTGAGTCAGCAAATGGAATGCCAAGCCAAAAGTTTGAACGGTCTCCATTTGTATATTGAGTTTTTTGACCTCCTGTATGAGTCCATACTTTCACATATGGCATAATAGAACTTTGCATTTCAGGGTTAATAGTTGGTGTGAAGTTGTTGTTAAAGTTCATAGCATCTAATGTCAAGTTGTATGACCTCATATCCTCAACTGTAGAATATTCTTCTCTTGGATAATATTTGCCATCTATGTTTATATGATATTTAATACCAGGGTGTAAACAAGAATAGTCATTTATAGTTCGTCTGAACAGTACAAACATAGTATCTGCATGTTTCATTGCAGTTGTTAAAGCAATATCTGTTCTTGCACCTGCGGCTCCTGGATTTTGGTTTCCAACTTCACCTGCAAAGTCTTTGACAGATATTTGGTGTATGGGGAACATAAGTGGAACTGCAATATATTTGGCAGCTAAAGCATTTGAAATATCTGGGTCCAACATATAGACTGCAAGTCTGCTTTCTATTCTCTTGCATTCAAATTTTTCGCATGTGAACTTAACTGGGTCCCAAGCAGTTCCAGCAGCATTGAAATAATAGTTTACTTCATTGTTGAAGTTTGAGAAACCAAAGTCTAAGTCAACTTTGTCTTTGCAAAATTTCGGCGAATGACGTTTGATTTGTTCCCTTTACGTCTGTAATAGTGAATGGGTCTTGTGTTGGTGCAATGACTAAGTTATTTTTGCTTGGAGTAAGTTTCAATAGAAATTTTTCCTGCCCAGTTTGGTAAGTATCTTAAAAACCTGAAGATGAGGAAAGATGACAAGGAACTCTAAGTTTCAGTTTTACTTTGGTTACTGCTGCTGCAGTTTGTCCAGAAAGGTTAACATAAACTCCTGGAACGTTAGGGTCAAGTCTTCTTATTTCTCAATAGTTGCATACTGGTCTGTTTGTTCTCTAGCTTGTGGTTGTACTGAGTTTCTCAAAGCGAACCATTCATAGTTTGCCCATGTTACTGTTTGAACTAAGTCAGAGTTAGAATATATCTTATATCCATGAAAACTTCTGGAGCATATTGGTATCCGACATAGAAAATTCCATTGCAACCTTTCTTGTCAGACAACTTGGCAGAAGGTTTTATTTCAATGTCTTGTTCCACGTATAAGAATGAGTTGTCAATAGAAATAATATGAAACCTGTCGCAAGCAATATCTACTGTTGTTGAAGAACCTTCTCCAAACTCACCTACGTTTCCATAAGAAACAGCAGTTGTATATTCGTAAGTTCCAGGAACTATTTCTGACCTTCTAATGGCATTGTCGCATTCGTTATACCATTCGGAAACATTTCCGTTCATGGCATCAAAACTGTTGGCGTTATATTCTGAGCGGCGTACATTTCATATGGGTAAAAATATAGAATAGTTGGATTTATATGTCATAATAGAACCCACTCGGACCAAGCTTTACTTTCTTCCTGACTGAGTTTTTAACTCTTCTTTTTCCTTCATTGCCACTACTTTCACTAGATGAAGTTACTTCTTCACTACTTTCACTTTGTTCTACTCTTCTCTTCTTCTTTGGTGTCGCTTTTGGTAACTTGCCCTCTGCTTCAAGTTGTAGCATCTTTGCCTCATGTTCACCTAGTATGTTGTAAATTTCCCATGTCCTTTTTGCCTTTGGGCTCTGGTCGCCCATCTCAGGTAACCTATATCCTAGAAAGATTTTGTCATAGTTTGTATTTGAGTCTTCGCTTATTGTTTGCATGACTCTTTCCTGAGTTTCCGGTTCAAGCTCTTCAAACAGAGCTTGTCCATATGGAATAAGCTCGTTTCCAAATATATGTTTTTGTAGCCATTCTGGTTTTCTTTCCATGTAACCAATAATATCTTTTGTGAATGGGAAAGCTTTTACCCAACGTTTCAGTCTTGCGTCATTTATTTCTGTAGTTGGTTTTATTTTGTCATGGAACATGTTTTTCAATACTAACATTTCATTTGGTACTGTCCATTTGAGTTTTCTTAAATATTCATCCCTTCTCATTTCATTGTCTGCAAAGTAAGTTTTTATGACATTTTGCAAACTTTCGTTTGCAAGGTCATGTATAATAGGTTCTCTCCCTAACTCTCTTTCTAAACTCTTCACCAAATATACCATCTCTATGGTTCTGTGTAGTTCTTTGAGATAAATGTTCTAGAACGTCAGGTGTTATATTTCCCTCAGCCATGTTCATTTCATACTGGTCCAAAATATCTGCATCTTTCATATCTTTCAATGGCATTAAAGCCGCGCTGAAAATACCCGTTATATCTGGTTCACCATTCACTTCCATTGCGTCTACAACTTCTTGGAATTGAGGTTGTAAGTTTATGAACCACCTATCCGGATTAGCTTTATGACCCCATCTCATTGTAGTTCCATAGTCTGCAGAAACAAAAGTAGGTTTGTTTCCATATTGGTTAGGTTCTGAATGAACTTTAAACAATGTTTCATTTCTATATGTTTTGTTGAAATTTAACCTTTTATTTTCACCGAGTTCAGCCAAAGATTGAACGTTATATGGTCGTAAGTAAAAAGGATTATTGTATTTGCGTACATTTTCTTTCAGTACTTCCATTCTATGCTGAATATTTTTATCTGTTTGGAGTCTTTTGTATGTCGGTGAACATTTTTCGATATTCTTCTACTATGTCAGCCGAATTTTTCTTAGACTCTTGGAAAGATTCCATATTCGCCGCATACACTTGTTGAGGGTCAAGATTTTTCGGCTGTTCCAAATCTTCATCTAGTTCTGTGAAGTTAGTTTCCAAAGGAGGGACTTGTTCGTTTCCTTCAGGCTCTTCTAGCTGTTGTTGCTGAACTATTTCTTTCTTGTCTAGTTGTATCTGAACTTCTTCCTGTGGAGTTTCTTGTACCTCATCTGCTGGCATTTCATATATTCCGAGACCGTTTTTAAAAAGTTCCCTATCTAAGTCATCCGGACTCATAAACCTTTCTTCTTTCGTTCCGTCTCTATTTTTTACGCGTTTCATGAAGAGAATTGAATTATCATTTAGCTCTGACATCAAATATCTCGGAGTAAATTCATCCATGTCATTTGGATGATATGCTATTAAATCATATCCCTTTGCGAGCTTGTATTTTCCAGGTTTGAGATTATATCCGATTTGATGCTGAACCATAAAGCTAAATAGGTTCGGGTCAGTATTTCCTTCCTTGAACTTTCTAATAGCTTCTTTATATCTGTCACTAAAGTCAAGAGTATCTGGGTAACCATAATCTTCCTTAAGCATTTTTAAGGATTCTTGGTTTCCTTTTTCTCTACTTCTTTTATGTCCTTGCTCTGTTTGTGGTTGCTGTGCAGGGTTTTGAACTGTTGGTTGCTGTGCAGGGTTTTGAACTGTTGGTTGCTGTGCTGGATTTTGAACTGTTGGTTGCTGTGTTGGTTGTTGTTGTGGTGCTGGATTTTGAACTGTTGGTTGCTGTGCAGGGTTTTGAACTGTTGGTTGCTGTGCTGGATTTTGAACTGTTGGTTGCTGTGTTGGTTGTTGTTGTGGTGCTGGATTTTGAACTGTTGGTTGTTGTGTTGGTTTTGGTGCATGCCTGTGTCTGTGTCCATGTGACGATGTAAATGTTTTAGGTAGTCCTGGTGCAGGTGCTTCTCTTGGAGGGTTTGGTGGTATATAAGTTCCACCAGCTGGCACATATGTTCCATCTGCAGCATAATGTCCTACCTGACTTTTCGTTTTTAAGAAAGCATTTACTAGGTCTGTTTTGGTCTGTTGTAACTCTTTTTCTTGACTTTCCACAACAGTTGCTCTAACGGCGTCATAGGCACTTTGAACTGCCTGTCTCGTTGCTGCATCTGTTATTTTCGTCATATTTTGTGCTACTTCTCTTAACTCTTTGTCGAAACCTTCAGACTTCAGTTTCTTTCCAGATGAGAAGTCGTTCACTAGTTTCACCTTACTATGAAGAGCTTCGAAGGCATTCTTAAAGTCAGCATTCATTAAAGCTTCATTTGAACTGTCTTCATCCGCTTGTATTTTTGTCCTTATTGACCCTATAAGTTGGGCTGCTTTATCGTTGGCTTGGGCATCTAACCAGTCATTGTTAGCTTTTATATATTCTGCACTTTTCATTGCCTTTTGCATGGCTGCGTCGTTATTTTTACTTTCTTGTGCTTAGTTTTCATACTGTACGGTTTGGTTTTGCAACTGTAAAAGTTTTTCTGCCTTTACATTTGCTTCAACTTCTTTTTTATACTCATCGCTATCCATATATGTCTTCAGGGCTTTTTGTTTTATCTCTTCATCTTTCAGTACTTTATATTGAGTAGTATGGTTTTTCAAATTTATAACATCTTGTTTCATTTTTGCTACTTCTGCTGCTTTTTCTGACACTTTTTTCGCATATTCCTCTGTACTTAGTTCTTTCAGTTGTTCTTCTTTCTTCTTTTTCTCTACGTTTAACTCATTGAGTTTCTTTGTGTGTCTGTCATATTCTAGTTTCTTTTCGTTTTCACTTATTTGTTTCTGTATGTCTATGTTTGACTTTTTGACATCTGTTATTTGATTTTTGAGTGAACTCAAATTCATTTGACTTTGAGGGTTATAAGCTGTTCCGTCTGCAGCTCCACCATAGCCTGCCATTTTCGCTAAAAGTGCCGCTCTTAAACCCCCACTCTGTGCACCAATAACTCGGTTTAAAAGCATAGGGTTGCTTGACATTTGTTGCAACATAGTGGGGTCATTCATCATTTGTTGTTGCAACTGTTGTTGTGGTGTCAGTTTTGTTGCATGCTAAGTTCGGTCAACGATAGAAATTGAGGGGAAATTAATCGTCGAGGAAGTACGATTATGTAAAGTAAAAATGTTGTGGGATTTTTAATATTATATATTATTTTATAATAAAATTTTTGTGAGTCATTTTAAGAAGCACATATAATTTTTTGAATTTAAAAATTAAAGGAGTGTCAAATGAATTTATCACTTAATTTAATACTCAGATTTCTTAAAATTAATGAAAAAAAGGTTTTCTGAGAACTTTTGAGAATGATTTTCAAATTCGCATATTGAAAATATATAGGTATTGAATGAAATTCAAACTCTATAATTATTAAAATTCTAAATTTTTAATAAAAATAACTTTTCAGATCAATATGATTTTGAATGGTGGAGTAATAAGTATAAAAATGCCTACGATTTTAAGGAGGGAATTGTTCCTTATGAGGTATACATTATAACTATATACCTCACAAGGAACAATTCCCTCTTGATAGCTGGGAAACTTTCTCTGATTAACATATCATTTGGAGAAAGTTTCCCAGCTATCTATTAGAAACTAAAGGCTATGAGGCATTAATATATAATCAGTGCCTCATAGCCTTTAGTTTCTTATTAAAAACGAGAAAACTTGTTCGAAATGATAAACAATTTCGAACAAGTTTTCTCGTTTTAAGGAGGGAATTGTTCCTTATGAGGTATACAGTATGAATATATACCTCATAAGGAACAAACCTTCATACAAAGTTGTCACGCTTAGTTTCAATTTCATATTATTACAACCAAAATTTTGAACTAACTATAAGGAATGAAAGGGTAATGGATACATATTATTAATACATATCTCTTACCCTTTCATTCCTGCTATTAATCCGAAAATCTTTGTTTGCATACGATTTGATGCAAACTTATTTCTGACATTTCTGGCAGGGAGACGAGGATTCTATCAACTGATCTAGAATCAGTTCTCCCAAGTCATCTTTTACTTATGGAAGATAGCTATTTATTTAAAAAAAAGAAAAGATAATTTAGTAAATTAAAATTTTTATTCGTAAATTAGTTTTAATGGTTTGGAATCTCTTTGGTCTGTACCTTGCCATCAAGCTGAACCTTCCACATTGGATTGTCTCCTTCTTTCCAATGTGGAATTTCGTTGAAGCACTCTCTCGGCGTCATTGGTCGAAATCCCTTGCGGGGTAATGTTTTGTGAGGCACTGTGTTGTAGTTTTCGCGGAATTTGTTTAATTTTGGTTGAATTTCTTCGACATCTTCTCTACCTCGTAAGTTTCTCTCTAAAGAAGGCCAAAGCCTTTCGATCTTACCGTTCTGCCGAGGCATATGCGGTAAGGTATGCCTTATTTGGATGTCATTTGCCATGAGCCAATTATAAAATTGGCCCATGTTTTCTCCACCATTGTCAGCCCAAAAACAAAACGGTTTTCCATAGGAATTTATCGTTTTTTGGGCAACTATGGTGGTTGAGGAAGAACTTTTGTTTGGTAACAGCTCTAATGCCAATCGGAATCTTGATTTATCATCAATTATTCCGTATGTTGGCAATTGCTGAGATCCAAACAAGAAATGCACGTCAACGTGCCATATCGGAAAAAGAGTCCAAGTGAGGGGAATTAAAATTCCCCTCGCTTGGACTTTTCATATATAGAGAAATGCCAGACATGATTTGCAAATGCATATAGATACAACATACTTAGAACTATCATTGTATGTAAGTACGTTCCTGATTCGAAAACATGTTGATGATATTTTCAATAAAATGTGGTGTAATATTTTTCTGATGGTTATCACTTTTTTCTTCTTTGATTTCTAATAAACTATAAATATTTCTGAGCTTGTTGTATGATATAGAAAATGTTTTGATATCCATGTTCAATCTCCAGTACATTTTCTGTATTCCGCATTTATATTCTTCATAAGCTTTGAGCACTTTTTGTAAAATTTCTGGGAAAATTTCTTCTTTTGGCGGACCCGGTTTAAATTTTGGTGGGGGCAGACCGGATTTCAAAAAAGCACTTTTTAAAGTATTTTTTGAAACGGCTCTAAATTCACATTTAATATAATCTTCATAGGGAACTCTTTTGCAGGCAACTAGATAATTGAGTTTTCTTGACTCCAATTTTTCTTTTGCCTGAATAAGCCACTCGCAAGGTACATGAGGCCTATATCTATCCATTAAAAATGTTGGACCAAACCGATATTAGTTTTTCAATTTTATTTTTTTATAAAAATGATATAAATCTAAAATAAATATATGTTTATATTGCGATATTTTTGAATACATTTTTTTAATTAAAGTTCTCAAAAGTATTCTCAAAAGTGATTTTTTAAAAATATATCCAATTAAATAACTAATTAAAAGTATTATATTTTTAAAATTAAATAGTTTTTCGATTTTTTTGAAGGAATTGAGATACTTTCCCCGACGATAAAATTGAGAGGTTTACATTTTGACTGATCTTAGCATGCAACAGTTTTACTATTGGATGTTTCAATGCTCCCTTCCTCTTACGTATATTCTTACGTAGCTTACGTGGCATTTTAAGTGAAGTTAAAAAGCGGTTTTTGACAGATGTTTATATGACACTTTTTGTTCAGCACAAAAAACTACTCGGTCAAAGTGTTGTCAGTTTTGTAAAATAACCGTCCTATCTCATTCTATAAGGGAGAAAAGGCTTCTCAAAGTATACTTCCTTGGAACGCCTGTAACTTTTCCTGTAGCGACGATAGACCCTTACTTGTCCGGACAAAGTTATACTATTTTGAGTGCTTTAAAAAAAGTCAACGGCGACGACTCTCAAAAACCGTTGTGTAAAAAGTTTTACCGTTGTACAAAAAAGTTCATAGTTCATTCAATATTTGAGATAAACCGTTTTTTCCAACGGTAACTATTAAATAAAATAAAAAATAGAGGGGGTTACCGTTGACGAAAACCGTTTTTATTCAATATTCATTTTCCATAAACTTCTGGTCAGTTCATTTTTGTCTAATGCAAGACCACAGTAGTAGTGTTATATACGAAAACGATAAAAACAGTTTGACAGAAAAGTGACGACTTTACGTGTCAAAAATATAAAAAGTGATATTTTATTCATCATTATCTTCTTCATAATTTATTTCATATTCTTCGTCTTACCAACAAAAGATGGAATGTGAACAATGCGGGCAATTTTTAGGCCATTTTGGCTTGGAACTAGAGCCTGCGAGGTACATGATAGTATCAGTACCTCACAGGCTCTAGTTCTCTATATGGCGCCGAGAAATTTTGGTGAAATGTGGTCGCATTTCACCAAAATTTTTTCGGCGCCATAGGATGAATTGGAGGGTGAGAGAATTATTTCATACAATACTACTCTCACCCTCCAATTCCAAGCCAAAATGGCTAAAAATTGCCCGCAATGTGAACAATTGCGGGCAATTTTTAGCCATTTTGGTTGGAACTAGAGCCTGCGAGGTACATGGATAGTATCAGTACCTCACAGGCTCTAGTTCTCTATATGGCGCCGAGAAATTTTGGTGAAATGTGGTCGCATTTCACCAAAATTTTTTCGGCGCCATAGGATGAATTGGAGGGTGAGAGATATTATTTCATACAATACTACTCTCACCTCCAATTCCCAGCCAAAATGGCTAAAAATTGCCCGCAATGTGAACAATTGCGGGCAATTTTTAGCCATTTTGGCTTGGAACTAGAGCCTGCGAGGTACATGGATAGTATCAGTACCTCACAGGCTTAGTTCTCTATATGGCGCCGAGAAATTTTGGTGAAATGTGGTCGCATTTCACCAAAATTTTTTCGGCGCCATAGGATGAATTGGAGGGTGAGAGATATTATTTCATACAATACTACTCTCACCCTCCAATTCCAAGCCAAAATGGCTAAAAATTGCCCGCAATGTGAACAATTGCGGGCAATTTTTAGCCATTTTGGCTTGGAACTAGAGCCTGCGAGGTACATGGATAGTATCAGTACCTCACAGGCTCTAGTTCTCTATATGGCGCCGAGAAATTTTGGTGAAATGTGGTCGCATTTCACCAAAATTTTTTCGGCGCCATAGGATGAATTGGAGGGTGAGAGATATTATTTCATACAATACTACTCTCACCCTCCAATTCCCAGCCAAAATGGCTAAAAATTGCCCGCAATGTGAACAATTGCGGCAATTTTTAGCCATTTGGCTTGGAACTAGAGCCTGCGAGGTACATGGATAGTATCAGTACCTCACAGGCTCTAGTTCTCTATATGGCGCCGAGAAATTTTTGGGGAAATGTGGTCGCATTTCACCAAAATTTTTTCGGCGCCATAGATGAATTGGAGGGTGAGAGATATTATTTCATACAATACTACTCTCACCCTCCAATTCCAAGCCAAAATGGCTAAAAATTGCCCGCAATGTGAACAATTGCGGGCAATTTTTAGCCATTTTGGCTTGGAACTAGAGCCTGCGAGGTACATGGATAGTATCAGTACCTCACAGGCTCTAGTTCTCTATATGGCGCCGAGAAATTTTGGTGAAATGTGGTCGCATTTCACCAAAATTTTTTCGGCGCCATAGGATGAATTGGAGGGTGAGAGATATTATTTCATACAATACTACTCTCACCCTCCAATTCCCAGCCAAAAATGGCCAAAAATTGCCCGCAATGTGAACAATTGCGGGCAATTTTTAGCCATTTTGGCTTGGAACTAGAGCCTGCGAGGTACATGGATAGTATCAGTACTCACAGGCTCTAGTTCTCTATATGGCGCGAGAAATTTTGGTGAAATGTGGTCGCATTCACCAAAATTTTTTCGGCGCCATAGGATGAATTGGAGGGTGAGAGATATTATTTCATACAATACTACTCTCACCCTCCAATTCCAAGCCAAAATGGCTAAAAATTGCCGCAATGTGAACAATTGCGGGCAATTTTTTAGCCATTTTGGCTTGGAACTAGAGCCTGCGAGGTACATGGATAGTATCAGTACCTCACAGGCTCTAGTTCTCTATATGGCGCCGAGAAAATTTTGGTGAAATGTGGTCGCATTTCACCAAAATTTTTGCGGCGCCATAGGATGAATTGGAGGGTGAGAGATATTATTTCATACAATACTACTCTCACCCTCCAATTCCCAGCCAAAAATGGCAAAAAATTGCCCCCAATGTTGAACAATTGCGGGGCAATTTTTAGCCATTTTGCTTGGAACTAGAGCCTGCGAGGTACATGGATAGTATCAGTACTCACAGGCTCTAGTTCTCTATATGGCGCCGAGAAATTTTGGTGAAATGTGGTCGCATTTCACCAAAATTTTTTCGGCGCCATAGGATGAATTGGAGGGTGAGAGATATTATTTCATACAATACTACTCTCACCCTCCAATTCCAAGCCAAAATGGCTAAAAATTGCCCGCAATGTGAACAATTGCGGGCAATTTTTAGCCATTTTTGGCTTGGAACTAGAGCCTGCGAGGTACATGGATAGTATCAGTACCTCACAGGCTCTAGTTCTCTATATGGCGCCGAGAAATTTTGGTGAAATGTGGTCGCATTTCACCAAAATTTTTTCGGCGCCATAGGATGAATTGGAGGGTGAGAGATATTATTTCATACAATACTACTCTCACCCTCAATTTTAATTACTTAAACTCATTCTATTTTTTTGACATGTAAATGTCACTTTTACTGAGATCTGACACAATGTCAGATCTCTTTTTTTCGTATATAAGAGTAGCATGACTGACAATTCTTTACAAAAGCTCTTTAAAGGTCAAACACTTATATCCTCATACTTTACTAGTATGTCCAAAGAGGTTACACAAGTTTCAGTCCAATCAGACTCCAATCAGACACAAATTGAAGCTCAAATTCAACCAAAAGAAACTGCAGAAGTCGAACAAACATCAGAGCAACCTTCAGAACAAACAATAACACAACAAACTACAGAAGCTCAAGTTGTTTCAGTCCAATCAGACTCCAATCAGACAAAAACATACGCAAAGTTCAACTAAAAACTTACACTCCTACAGAACCAGAAGGTGTCTTCTCATTCTCAACAACAGAAGCAAGATATAGAAGACTCATTGCAGCTTATCCAAACAATTTCCTTAACAGACAACAATGACTATGATAGATATTTCAAAAGTATAATAAAACCAGTCGAAACATTAGAAAACAAAGTTCAAAACCCGACAGTAATGGTTGACTTTTTCTTGTCGAATTTGCTTTATGTTTCAACTATGATATCTCTTCAGCAATTGACGAGTTCATTATTTGCTGTGAACCAAACTTAAGAGAACAGCTATATGAAACACTCAACGACTTTCGTCCTTATCCTTTAACTTACAATTGGAAAGAAGATGAAAACAAACGCGGTTCTTTCTCCTGGAATCTTTTCATTGTTGCTCCAGCTGGTGTAGCTGCACATCCATTCGAAATATATCCAAAATTGCATTACGAAAAACAATATGCATATTATAACAACAGCCGCTTTAGATATTCCTGAACGGATACCAGATGGAGAAGAAGTTTCAATAATATCTGTTCAAGCAAACCGAGTTGCAATGCCACTTACAGTATGCAAATTCACTCACTCAAGCAGACAATTCTATCAAAATCTTGAGTTCGTTTTTACTGGCACAGCCAAAATGCTTCTCAAAAAACCAGAACAAACCAAAATAACCATCTTCTTATCTGGTTATTGTGAAGATGAAGACAATTCGGACGAAGAAGAAGAAGAGGAGGAAACAAGCGAAGACTCAGACGATATCCAGTTCATTTCCATCCGTAAAAAACATTAAAGCAAACATTTCAGAATAAAAATTTTAATTTTAATCTAAACAAAAATTTTTTATGGGCTAGAGGGCGCAACGCGCCTGGAAGCCCCACCTACCTGACCTACCCGACCAAATAATTTTGGAACTCTGGGGGACATGTAAAGTGTCAAATATTTTTGTAAATTGTCATAATTGTTAGCCAAAGAATACAAGTATTTATTCTTAGGTTCCAAAATATTATTTAAGATTGTTGTGAACAGAAATTCATCAAAAGTGACACCTCAGAAAAGCTAAAATATTGAATTTTTGGAACTTTTGATAGAGCACGTTTTTAAATATTAATTAAAGTAAATGTATATTTTGTAAAGATTCTTTTTAATAAAAAATAAAATTTTGAAGAAGAACACAAAATCTTCTGAAAAATAATATCACATAAACTCATATTATTTTCTAATATATAACTATTTTATATAAAAATCAAATTCAATGATCTTAAAAGCGAATGATAAACCTCAAAATTTACGAATATAATGAGTGGGAATATAATGCTTATCTATCATAAAACCATATGAAATATCAATTTTTGCTTTACGCCTAATTTTTGACGACAATTAGCAAAAAATGTTAGATGTTAACACTCAGTCCATTTGAATATGAAAAATAAAATTGACTTTGATTAAATGTTTTTATTTATCATGCAATTCTTCTTGCGACCAAAGATTTGAATAAAATTTCAAAAAATAAGATAGCTTAAAAAATAATATACGGTAGTGTTTACTAATAGATGAATAGTATATAAATTCTATTAAAATGGATTTGATCCAAAAAAATATATAAAATTTGATCATAAATTAAATCGTTTTAAATTACTTCTTCATTTAAATTATAACAATTATTTTTGGTTTTATATTTTTTTGGATCAAATCCATTTTAATAGAATTTATATACTATTCATCTATTAGTAAACACTACCGTATATTATTTTTTAAGCTATCTTTTTTTGAACTTTTATTCAAATCTTTGGTCGCAAGAAGAATTGCATGATAAATAAAAACATTTAATCAAAGTCAATTTTATTTTTCATATTCAAATGGACTGAGTGTTAACATTTAACATTTTTTGCTAATTGTCGTCAAAAATTAGGCGTAAAGCAAAAATTGATATTTCATATGGTTTTATGATAGATAAGCATTATATTCCCACTCATTATATTCGTAAATTTTGAGGTTTATCATTCGCTTTTAAGATCATTGAATTTGATTTTTATATAAAATAGTTATATATTAGAAAATAATATGAGTTTATGTGATATTATTTTTCAGAAGATTTCATTCTATATGCCTATGAAAAGTACTCTCAAAACTAACTTTTTCCTAATTATAATTAAATCTAGAATATTGTATTATGCTTAGTATTATTTCATTTTTCTCATTCAATTTAGAATTTACAAATGTCAAAAAATTGAGAGCTGTCACTATTGATGAATTTCTGTTTATTACAAGATTGCTAATATACATAAATAGAGGGATTTTATATCATTGTTCCAAAGGATTAAAAAAATTAAAAATATGAAAAAATTATGGATAATTATAAGTTAAATACAACTAACCTCCTAATGTCTGATGCATTTATATGGGTACCAAAGGTTTTTAGTTAAAATCGAGAAATGATTTTTGAAAATCTTAGCCTCATCTCCATTTTAATGGGTTGAATTACTAGGTTATCTATCTTTTTATCTCTTATAATACTGTATCTCTTAAAGAACTCAAATGTTATAGTATCCTTATAACCAGATATGTCATAATACTTAGGAGGAATGAGAGTTTCTTTAGCATTGCAAATAAACTGCTTGTTATCATGAGCTATGTTGCTTGTTGCAATAACATTTAAAGCTAATGGAAGATTTCTGATATGATACTCAGTAAAATAATAGTCTTTTTCATTACGTTCATAGACAAATTCGAAGTTTGAAATTTGAACGGTCAAAGTTTTTAAGTCTCTTATATGCTGTTTTAAACCTTCTGGTATGTCTGGATCATCACTATGGAATTCATCATATTCATCATAATCTAGTATGTAATCCATATGAATATAGTCACTAAGAGATGATTGGTATGCTTGGAATCTCTTAATAAAGTTATCAATATTACTTTCTGCTAACATTCCATAACTTGTTTCAGTTATTTTGTATCTTTCTTCCTCCGTTAACGTGTTCATTTCACTAAGTAAGTCAAGAGCTTGATGTGAAAATTCACCGAAGAAGTTATCAAAAAGGGTACTAAACATACCATAATGAAAATTTATAACACCTATACCTAATGGTCTCCTGACAAACTTCATACAATTATCTTGAGTACTATAATATATCTCAAAGTATTTCTTATACTTTTCATCAGTTTTAGAGAGAAGTGTATCCGTTATTTCCTTCGGTGTTAATTCAGGCATGATATAACAGAATGTTGGAGGTACTTCAGTGTCATCGTCTTCAAAAAATGGCACTAATAACATCATAAACTCGGGTAATTGAATGTTGATCTTTCTGATTTCAATGGCTTTCTTTGCTGGGTATTCAATGAAATCACGTGGTAGCTTAAATGTTATTGAGTTGTCTTTGATGACACCATCATTCATTACATGTTCATAGTATAAACCGTTGCTTTTCGACATTTTATATATAGGTAAAAGATGGAAAAAGTCATCAATCAAGTTGATAAGATTTTACATGACGGAGCGAGAAAAAATAGCAAAGAACTAAACAATGCATTAATTATGCCCTTTTCTGATGATTATCCCTTTTGTACTAACGGAGTGTATTTCTACTGTGGAAAGATGGGTTCAGGAAAGACTTATGGTGTGATTAGACATATCATGATAACAGATAGGTTTACAAAGACTCCTTATTATGACTCAATTGTAATCTCTGCAACATCAGGAACGATGGACAAAACTGCCAAAACATTTATGAGGCAAGTAAAAGCACCAGTACTGAAGAAAGACAATAAGGAACTTATGCCATATTTACAGAAAAATGTCAAGATGAAGTCAAAGTATTATGCAATAGTTGAGTTCATAAAGAGTAAGTTTGAGAAGATATCAGAAGAAATGGAACATATATTAACTAAACATCAACTCAGAAGACCTGATGGTAAGTTTGAGTACAAAAAGATTGCAATGTATATAGTGAAGAAACTCAATAAATATCCATTCACAAAGTATCCTGTAATGCATGAAAAATAGCGTGACTTCATTTTTGACAGTTTACAAATGTAAAGTGTTGCATCCTTAAAAACTTGGAAATATATACATTCATGAATTATCTTGTATATTAATTGAAAATCCATAAAACCCTAACAATATTTTTTCTTAAAAAAAACTATAAAAATATAAATAAAATTAATCGTTAAATAAAAATATTTGATATTAGAATTTTATTGGAAAAATAAAAACTTAATATTTTAAAGAAATACTTAAATACTTGAATGTTTTAACTTTTACATTATCATATAGACTCTCAAATTATTAGCCATTTTGGCTGAAAACTATGGTCTGCGAGTACATAGATAGAATCAGTACCTCGCAGACTAGAGTTCTCTATATGGCGCCGAAAATTTTTGGTGAAATGTCGTCGCATTTCACCAAAAATTTTTCGGCGCATAGGAAGAATTGGAGGGTGTGAGATACTATTACATGCTATAGTACTCACACCCTCCAACTCCCAATCAAAATCGCATAAAATTGCTACTTATCTTCAGATTACCTCCCATTATAAAATATATCATTGCTATCTCATCGTACTATACTTCCACCCTATTGTATTTAAAATATAAAATTTTTTGATAATATATTTTTTATATCTTGAATTTTCAAAACAATATATTCACAGATAATATAATGGGAAATCTATCTCAACCTAGCCTTAAAGTACCAAACTCCTGCTTGCATTCTCACTCACAAATATTAAACATCCATCTCCAAAAAACTAAATTCTTCACAATTTTTTAAAATTGAGAACATAAAAAACGTATGCATTCAATAATTTAAGATACTAACAAATATTAAAAACTTCAAAATATCAATATTAACGTTTTTCAATTAAAAAATATCATTTTGCTTTTCAATTCGAACATAAATCTTAAATATTTTTAATTAATATCTGATTTACAGCATTATTATCCATTTATAAATCTGACAAATAAATGACAAAACCATCAGAAATAGTGTCACTTTTTGTCAAA